AAAAAAAAAAAAAAAAAAAAAAAAAAAAAAAAAAAAAAGGCAAGGCAGAGGCCGAAGGAGGCCAGTACTGATTGAAGCAGGCACACCCAGCCCACTTCAACTATATATTTTGGGCTTCAGTGCCGGAGGACAGGCAGTTGTCATTTCGCAAATTTGTGGAAGCTGTTGGAGCTTGTGCGGACTAGCGACCTGGATGAAGAAGTGCGCTGAAGGGAGGAAGAAGACCAGCGCCCTGGCTGCGACAGACCACCATAGCCAGAAGAGGGGGAGATGAAGTGTTTGGCGGCCATAGCCGCCTGTTGTTGTGAGGCACACCGCAGAGGCATTCAGGGTAGATCCAGGACATTGTAGAGGGAGGAACAGTAGCATCGCAGGATGAACACTGCAGAGATGTGAGTGGAGAGATAGAGAGTAAGAGAGGGAGAGAAGAACCAGACCGGAGGGGGAGAAAGTCGGGTACTTACCCGAGTGTGTCGCAGCGGTTGAGACCACCCAGTCCCAAACTTTTTAATTGTATGTTATTTATACTTTGAGTAGAATTTCGAATTGGCACTGTTCATGGCCATAGCCCAAGCTTGTGAGTTCTTTATCTGAGTGCTCCCAATTTGCATGTGGTATTTTAAGTTGGATTTTACGGGGATCATTGCACAGGTATCGGAGTTGTAACCCGTTGCACTGCGGTGGTGGAAGAAAGCTGGCAAAGCATAAGGCCGGCGGGTGCGTGCATGTCGGGGTTTCACTGTAGCAGGCGAGAAAAAGAAGGAAATGGTGCTGAATTAAGGTTGGAGCGGGATCTACGTACCTGTAGCAGACCAAGATCGACGGGGAGAGGCATTGTGAAGACCGAAGTGAAGTGTTTTCTGCCCTTAGCATTGCCTGTTGAACCTTTTGCTGTTTTTGTGAAATTTCCACGTATTTCCTTGGTAACGGTTGCTGTGGTCGAGCACTGTAGACATCATCTCATCAAGTGGAGTCGGACCTCGAGTCAGGTATAGATAAGTGTTGAGATTAGTGAAGTTGTGGGTGAAGTCGACGTGGTGAGGAGGTGGAGCGTACTTACCGCTGTGCCGATCTCTCGCCATGGATGATTACCCGATGTTTGCTCTCCTTTTCATGTCCATCATATGGCGGCCCCTCCTACAGTTCATTTTTCCGCTGGGTTTCCACCGGACCATTAGGATGACCGTGGTCACAAAGTCCGATAGAGTCACTGAGCCATACACAGCGGAGGAAAAGACAGAGATAAACCGGCGGTTGAAAGAGAAAAAGGAGGAGAAAACAAATAAGAGAGAGGAAGAGTTGAGAAAGAAGATGGAGATGGAGAGGAAGAAGTTGGAGGAAGAAATGGCGAAACAGCTGGAGGAGAAGATGCTGAGGCAGCTGGAGGAGGACAGGAAAAAGAGTGAAGAAAAAGAGAAAAAGGTGGAGTTGCAAGTGCACGATGGGGAGGAAGACATGGTGGAGTATGTGCTACCCAAGGAAGAGGAAGCAGGGGAGTGCAGTTATGAGACCACCCTAAGTTTTGATCAGGACATTCCTGAAGTTTGGGTGACACAGTTTGATTACGGTGTAGAGCGGCCTGAGGATGAGACTGCAGAAGAGGTTGTTGCATCAAAGATTCTAGAGACTGCTACGGCGAAGGAGAGAGAATATTTGATAATAGAGAGAGAAGCCAAAATACAGCTTAGACTGGCGGCGCAGAAGACAAAGGAATGTGAAGCGGCGAAGAGGCTGCTAGAGGAAGGAGAAGCCCTACGCAGGAGGATGCAAGCGCAGAAGGAGAAACCGAAAGATGTTGAGTCTAGGCTGGACCTCCTCACCGACGTTGTGATGCATTCCACCCAGGAAACCGCTGCGCTTCGTAAGGCTGTGGAAAAGATAGAAACCCGTCAAGAAGATCAGCGGGGTAAGTGGAAGAATCTTACAGCCACCGTTCTCAGCAAGGTGAACGAGCAAACCTCCTCTTACACCATGCAGTTGGAACAGTTGTGCACCATTAGTCCGTACCATCGCTAAAGAAAAGGCCTTGAGTAGAAATGGCAAGGTCATTGGGGGAGGAGACCTTGCCAACGGAGTAGGGGGAAGCCTGATTAAGAGAGAGAAAATTAAGGTGAAGCTCCCTAACACTTATTCGGGGAAGAGAAAGGAAAACTTTGATCGGTGGGAATCGACAATCCAATCGTGCGCATATGCGCAATGCATTCCAGAGGGAGACAAAGTTTAGATGGCTTATTCGTGCCTAAGTGGCACTGCTGTGGATTTTGCACTATCGCTAGCCAATGTGGCAGACTGCGATCGTGATATGGTAGCATACTCGCAGAGGACGGCTCTCAAAACCTTCTTAGATGCTATCTGCAACCGATTTGAGGATAAGACCAGGGCCATGAAGACCGCAGAGAGGCTGAACAACATTCACCTTAGGAAGTGGAAGAGTGTGTCATCCTTGAAGGCCACAATGGATGAACTGTTGCAGACCGCGGATCATGGACTGACCCCCGAACAAATTCTGAACAACTTCGCGAGAACCCTCCCTGATTCCATCAAGAGCAACCTCTATGCTAAGATCAAAGAGGACAGCGTGACTTACGACAAGTTCAGTAAGTTAGCAGTGGAGCAGGCTGGGTACCTCCAAGAAGCAAATTGCCATTGGTACAAGGACTTGGAGAAGGGAAAGGCTTGGAAAGGTAAGACCATTGCAGGGAGTATTACGGGCAAGGACAACCTAGTGGTAATGTTTGAAGAAGGAGGTTGTGAGGCCCTCACTTATGATCAGATAGAATATGGGTTAGATGGGGACAGATGTGGAGTCCAGGGAGGTGACTGCGCTGCTGTAGTCCGTGGGGGAGGACGCCGAGGAAAAGGCGGCCGAGGTAGAGGAGGCCGTGGTTGGGAGGAAAAGGACGTGGCTATCAGGGGCAGTGCAACAATGGATGTTGTGCAGAGGGAGGTAGGGGTTATGGACCCCCACATGGTAACACCGGCCATGCCCCCCAACAACAAGGCAGGGGTAAAGGACATTACACCCTTGCCAACAATGGCAATTCGGGCGGAAGAGGAACGACACCACGTAGATACCCATGACACCCTGAACGTGCAGAGGGGGAGCCATGGAGGGAGCTAGGTATGACCTATGACCTGTGGTTCAAGAGAATCAAGGAAGGGACCTGCATAAAATGTGGAGAGGCAGGCCATCTGATTCCATGGTGCCCTGAATTGAAATCGTCGTCAAAAGGCAACAGCCGGTAGGAGTGGCAGCTGCTCCTACTGGGGGCTTGGGTACATTACAAGAAGCGCGCTCTGCAAGAGAGACCTCCAACCCGAGGACCCCAACGACAGAGGCTGATGTAGGCCCCCACCTAGATAGTTGTCCAGAGACTGTTTGTGCTAGGGTCTCTCTAGGTGGCTCCCGCGCAGACATTGGTGATGAGCTGATCACTCGTCGCCCCATCTGGGTTGAAATGAAGAAGAGAAGAGGGCAACTGATTTTGGCAGATGTAGAGATTAGTCGAACACTAGTGGGGGCCTTAGTGGATAGTGGCTCTACTCGGAGTTTTATCAGCAGGAGAGGACTGAAGAAGTTGCACTTAGGAATGAAGGTGCAGAAGTTGAGTGAGCCGATAGTGAGTAGACTGGCCGACAATCACGAGGTGCGAGTGGAGGAATACGTCGAGGGGATCAAGGCATACTTCCGGTTAGAGGAGGGGAAAAAGGTGGAAAAGATTATGCATTCCCTTACCCTCTTAGTGGAGGACAACCTTCCCTTTGATCTGATTTTAGGGACAGACTGGGGACAAGCAGCCATGGCGGACGTTAAGTTGGCTGCATGAGTGCTGGCTGCCCAGCCCCACTGGGGGCAAGAAGAAGAAGAGGTTGTTCCATGAGTCCAGTCTAGAGTCCCACTTGTCCGTTTGCTGTATGAGTGCGTTCGCTCGGCACGTGACGAAGGAGAAGTTGGAAGATCAGGTCTTTGTGGCCTACGTTAAACCGGTGAGGGAAGAGAGTAAGGGTGAAGAGAAAATACTGTCTTTTTTTTTCTTTTTTTTTTTGTGAGAACAACCCGATCGGATGCTATAAGAGCAGACACATCTAGCACCGTCGGGGAGGCTCCATCTACTGGTGGGGAGCAGCACCTGCTGGAAACCGGGTCCAGCGTCCCTTTGATACATCGTGCAATACAGAGATTACTGCGTGTTGTTCCCCAGGGTTGTGGCCAATTCAAACTCAGCTTGGGGCTCCGATATCCCATGAAGCTGCTAGTGTCACCCATCCCTTCTTAGGAACACCCCTTATCTAATAACCCAGCCCTGTCTCAGCAGCCCCCTTGTTTAGATATATGTGTGTCTGTCCATTTGACCCTTTGAACCAATACCCTCTCAGAACCAGCGCAAGACCCATCCCTGATCCTTGAGTGAGTAATAAAAGAGACACAGCTTGCAACGGAACCGTTGCATCTACCCTGGTCCAATCCTTCTTTTTTTTTTTTTCTTTTTTTTTTTTTTAACTTAAAGCCCAGGTTGTTGTAGAGGTGGGATGTTAGACGGATGGCAGTCACCCACAGTACTCGGCCACTCGGTTGTCCAGATGAACCCCTCTGAAGACCCCACCCACCCTTCCTCTTATCTTTTTGCCCTGGCGCACCCCCACCCCCCCTGTCCTACCCTAGTGTTAACCACCCAGGACCATCACCCATTGCCATCATGGCGGGGTGACCTGACCAGACAGCGGTTGCAGGTACCGGGGCTAAGCAGAGGTACCTACCCCCTGCTCAGCCCCGGTTGAAAGATATTCTGCAGTCTCTCCTGAGTGCCTGCCTGCTCATCTGATTGGGAACCACTTACTCCCATTGGATGTTGGCTATCCAGCCGCTGTGTTCGCTCCCCAGCCATTCCTCAGAAAATCGTGTGATTGGGAACCACTTACTCCCATTGGAGTTTGGCTATCCAGCCGCCGTGTTCGCCATGTCTTCCTTTGTGTAAGAGAGACGTCCAGTTGTGCTTTTAATTTCAACCATAATTGCGCTGTGAGGTCTAGTTGGAGTTGCTGTTTTGCGGTCTCTGTAATTTCCTTGCCGCCTACGTGTACATCCTCAATTACATGTATGCTTCTCTTTCTCCAAAGGGCCCAGTCTGAGAGGACCGCTCTTCTCCCTATCTTGAATATATATTCTCCTCAAAGGTGTTGTTATGTGGGCAACTCCATGCCCTGCGCAGTAGTGCTCTCCAATCCCATGGCCAGGTGGATTCACTGCCCAGCTGGCACCACATCCTGTCCCACCGGCACCATGTGAGGGTCTCCCCCTGGGCACTGGAAAAATATGTGTTTCCGGGATTCTGCGGGAGGGAAAGCTCGGGAGTGCCACACCTTTGTGTTCTGCATACGTGCGGCCGATTAAACCGCCATTACCTTTCCCCACTTGAAAAACAAGTATGCGGCTTGTTAACGACCGCAACTTCCGGGGGCGGGCCGAAGTTGATAAATTTCATCGGCAGCGCGTGTTGTGTGTCGGGCCTCCGAAAGTAGCAGTGAGGGGCCCGCGGTCGATATATGTTATGGGAAAGGTGCTGGTGGTTTAACCAGTCATTCGTGGGCAAGCAGCAGTGCTCTACCTGCCATTGCAGGGAGGCCAGTTTTTCGGGTTTGGTTTTGGTTGTTATGAACCAACGGATGGGTCTGATTTCTTTTCTTCGCACATTCATTCCTTACTATGTCTTCGAGGTTTACCGTCAGCCTCAGAATTGTGCATTGTGCATTTTTATTTCATTATTATTATTATTATTTATTTAAATTGTCTTCTTTCAAAGAGATTTGCTCATCCATGAGTTGTATGAACTGTTTTCTGCTGTTTAACTCTTGTTTCGCTTTAATCTGTTGTGAACGGGCCTTTATGTTTTCAGGGACAGCCATTGTTACCTAGGCGACCAGACCTTTACGACACAGATTACAGAGTAAGTGGTTTGAAAGGCCCCATCAGGAGGATAAAATTAAAGGGAAAAGCCTGTTTGGGGGGGGGGGGTGGAGAGGAGAGAGAAGGTGATGTGATGCTTGTGTTCCTTTTCTCTTCTTTTGAATATTTTGCTTTTTTTTTCCCTTTGTTTTCTGTTTTTTGGGGTGACAGTCATGGTGGTGATGTTTTCTGAAGCACTGAGAAAGTCAATGTTCCCATTCTATGGGCCTACCGTCCTCCACAGAACACAACGCACCCTCATAATGGCTGTACCGGACCTGAAAGATAACTTGTATACATTCATTATTAGGGTGCGTTGTGTTTGGGGGCGAAGACGGTAGTTGCACCACGCACCATCCACCAAAATTGTGAATGCATCTGGACATCTGCGTCACAATATTGGCGGATGGCAAGTGGTGCAACTAGGCCCTATAGCGGGAGGCAACAACTCAAGTTCACGAGGAATGGGTTGGAGACCAGGATTTTCTTTTACTTCACTTTCAGTTCTTGCAAGGAAGCCCCACACAGGAGAAACTGAAATCACAACCACCATGAAGGGCCTCGCCACACCACTCACCAAGTGTGCAAAATGAGAATGAATCTTCTGCTAGATTATGCCAAAGTATTCATGCAGACTTCATACAACGGCACAAGAAACACCCGGTGAGCTCAGGATCCTTTCTGGTCAGGACATAAGTGCAAATCGTTACTCCTTCGGTCCGGCTTTGGCCGACTTTGGGCATCCACCCTCCCCTCCAAAGGACTCTTCCAGTTACCCGGAGGGGCCAGAAGCCCACCATCAAGCCTTTCTTGGGCCCACCAGACAGGAAATGAGGATTAAATTTTCAATTAGAAGACTCCCTCCACCCCTCCTCCCCTGGTCATCAGTAGGATAGTACCTCTAGTCATTCTTAGTATATCGTACTATATCCAACATTTTCATTAGCTCAAGCAGGCCTTTATTCCCTTTTTATTTTTATTTTTAATAGTTCTCCATTCCTCTTATTTCCCATCCCTCCATTAAGTTTTTCCCATGGTTACCATCCGGACGTCCAGATCCCATTCTGGACCGTCTGCATCTGGATGTCCGTGCGGACGTCCAGTCCGGTAGGTCCGGAATTAAAAGGGGGGGCGGGGGGTCGTTCATTGTCCACCCCCAAAAAAAATGTTTGGGGATTTTTTGACTATTTTCCGGCCCTTTCAGAAAGCCAAAGAGGACCGGTCGAAACTGATTCTGATTTTGTGTGTGTGTGTGTGTGTGTGTGTGTGTGTGTGAGAGAGAGAGAGAGAGAGAGAGAGAGAGAGAGAGAGAGCAATATATATATATATATATCGTCACAAACAGAGAGAGAGAGAGAGAGAGCAATATATATATATATAGAGAGAGAGAGAGAGAGCAATATATATATATATACGATATATATAGAGAGAGAGAGAGAGCAATATATATATATACGATATATATATATATATATATATATATATATAGAGAGAGAGAGAGAGAGAGAGAGAGAGAGAGCAATAGACAGACACAGACAGACAGACAGGCAGACAGACAAACAGACAGAAACAGAGACATACAGATAGAAACAGAGAGAGACAGACACACACACACACACACACACACAGAGAGAGAGAGAGAGAGATAGAGAGATAGATAGATAGACAGA